TAGTGCCTCTATGAGGACAGCGTGAGGGGCTGCTTGCCGCTTCCCCAGGTGAGGACACGGCGTGAAGTCTGCCATCTCTGGCCGTGCTGGTGCCCTGGCCTCGGACCTCCAGCCTCAGGAGATGAGCATTCACACCGCAGCCTGCCCACTGCGCCTCGTCAGAGAGGCCCCATCAGACATGGGTGGGGCACACTGATGTGTGAAGTTCCCACAAACAGGAGGTGGCTCCAACAAGGCACACGGGGACCGTGGCACAGAGAGAGGGACGGAACCTGTGTGCAGCCTGGGAACGCTGCCCAGGGAAGGGACATAACGCTGGCCACATGGAGGCGTCACTCACCCTCTCTGAGCCTGTTTCCTCCTGCTATGGTTTAGATCTCAAACATCTCCCCAAAGTCTCCTTGCTGGGAGGCGGGGCTTGGGGAAGGAGTCTGCATCATGGCGTGCTGTACTCATCGGTGGCTTCATCAGGTCAGTTCACAGCTGACTGTTTGTTGGGAGGTGGGGCCTGGTTTCGGGGATCCCTAGGGGCAAGCGAGACCTGGAAGGACGTACTCCTCCCCAGCTCTTCACAAGCTCTGCTTCCTGGCCACCAGGACATGAGCAGCTGTCCTCCACCACTCCCTTCCACCATGTGCTTCTGCCTCCGAGCCAGCTGACCATGGACTGAGCCCACTAAAGCTGTGAGCCAAAATAAACCTCCCCTCCTTTAAGATGTGGGTGTCGGGCGTTATGTTCCCGTGACAGGAAAGTGACTAGTACGTCTTACACGTAAAATGAGACCAGAAGCGTCCAGTCCTGACATCACTGTCACTGTAACAAGCTATAAAGAGGAACTGAGAGTCCATAGGGGAAAATGGTTCAGAGGACCCTGCTCCCTGCAAGAGAAAGGGCCAGACCTTCTCTGGTCCTCCACAGCTCATACAGGAACTTGATAGAGATGTTGAAACTTTCCACCAAATCTTCCTCCCCTCCTGTCTTTCAAAAGAACCCCAATCTGGGGAATGCCTCTCAAAATGGCATTTCCTATTCTCCTATCCGCCTTTGTAGTTGATCATGGGACTCCGTTCTAGGCGATGATTTTCAGGAAACATCATTAAGAATGGGCGGGAGGGTGGGAAAAGCACTTTAATGAGGACTGACACAGCTGATTAATTTGTTCTTTCCCTTTCTCTTTCTCATGGCCTAGAATGACAATGTAATGACTGGAGTTGCAGCAGTTACCTTGGGACCATGAGGAAACCTAGGATGATGGACCAGGACAATGGCATTAATGACATTGTGGAACTCTTGTCCTGGCCTAGACTGCCCATTCTACGTTTCATGCTGATGAGAAAAAGAAGTAAACGCCAATTTATTGAACTCATCTGCATTTTTCTGTTCCATTCGGGGAAACTCAACCCTTATTTGATATGGTGAGTGTCTGAAGATCACTCAAATCCCCAGGGTCAGTGGTCCCCAAACTTTCTGGCATCAGGGACCAGTTTTGTGCAGGACAATTTTTCTGTGCATGGCAGTGGGGGTTCAGGTTGATTCAGAGAGTGAGCAACCTAGATCCCTCATATGCGAAGTCCACAGTGCGGTTAGAGCTCCTGTGAGAAGCCAATGCTCTGCTGATCTGATGGAAGACAGAGCTCTGGTGGTGGCGGAGCGATGGGGAGCAGCTGTAACAGGCCAGTTACTGGTCCAGAGCCGGGGGGTGAAGACCTCTTCACTTGAACATGGCAGCCATGCTGACTGGAGAAGGGGGCATCATGGCTCATCACTGCTGTGTGAAATGGGTCTCAGACACTCCTACACTAAGGACATGATCACAAGGAAATATGAAACCATCTTCCCTATTGAAAAACCTCTGATTTGAGACATCATTTTTTGTGCTCTTATCTGATTACAAAGCAATAGACATTCATTTTAACAAATCCAGAAACTATTGAAAAGAATAAAGGGAAAATAAAATCACCTATAATCAACCTCCAGTGACCAAGCAATGCCAGCACTCTGCCCGCTTTCCTCCAGTTCTCTATTTATATTTACACTTAAAAAACAAGGCTCGCTCCTCCCTCCTGCCTTCCTTCCCTGGACAGACATTGAGGAAGGCTGGACCTTATCACCTCATTGATTCTTTTTTACTAAAGACTTCTCGTGTCATTAAATATTCCTGAGTATAATTAAAGACTGGGAATGACAGTGAAACAAATGTATAACTTCCATATCGTGTGCTATTATTATAACATCAGTACAATTCCATCCCTAATGCATCCAGCCAGCCATCAGGGATCAGGTCCCGAGCACTGGAGTTTGCTTTCTGTCTCCCTGCTCATGGTGATCATAGCAAGGTGCTAGTCCCGGGCCTCGTTCTGCTGTGAGTCCAGGGAGTGAAGAGGAGGAGGAGCCGAGCCAGGGTCCGACAGTTCATTGCTGTGCTGCACAAATCCCAAGGTCCACATCTGATTCCAGACAAAAGCCATGTGTGCTTCTCCCATTTGGACACACAGTTTCTCGGTGTCTCCATATACAGCATCCAGATGCTGTCCTCAACACTGGGCACATTGTCTGGTCTTCACACCAGCTGGCTTGCCCAGTGACGTCAGTGTCCAATCACAGACAAGGACCCTGAAGGTGTGAGGGGTCCAATCACATGTCCGGGGTCACTCAGGAAGTGACAGAACCAAGAAGGAGCCTAGGACTCTGATTCCAAACACCAAGGCCTTTCAGGTTTTTAACAAAAGCAATGTGTTGAGTGTAAAAGCACATGGTTAACTGGATTTCGTGGCACAAGACATCAGACCCTGCTGGCTGTTCCCCACTCTTGATTTCTTTTCCCAAGAAGCACCTGCAGTGGGCCCTAGGTATCCTCAATTCCTGGACCCACAGGATTCAACCAAGTGCAGATGTAAAGTATTCCCCCAAACTGTGTCTGTAGCAAACATGTATAGATGCTTTTGCTTTGTCATTATTGCCTAAACAATAAACTATAGCAACAATGTTCATAGCACTTACATTCCATTAAGTATAATAAGGAATCATTTAAGTACATGGGAGGATTGTGCAGGTTTGGTGTAAATTGTAACTTATACAGGAAACTTGAGCATCATGGATTTTGATATCTGTGCTGGTCCTAGAACCAACCTCCCACACACACTAAGGGATGATTGTATTTACGTTTAGTTACTTCAATGGCATTCACATTTCTATTTCTAAAGAACAGACTGCAACTTCTCAATGTTTTATTACCCACATATTGTCCGTCTGGGTGCTAACCGTCTACGATGAGAGATGACTCTCTTACTCTCATATGCACATGCATTACTGGGCTCAAGTCCATTTCCTCACCACTCAAAAGCCGATACCTGGGAGACAGGCGTTGGTAGAAAGGAAATTAGGTTTATTCAAGGGACAGCACTGTGAAAAGATCAGGGAGCTGTCATCCGCCACAAAAGACCATCTTGGGGAACACAAAAGACCATCTTGGGGAACATAGACAAATAGCTTTTATAGGGAGGAAAAGGAAGCATGGAAGGAAATGAGCAGGAAGACTATGCACTGGGCAAGTTTTACCAACCAGGGCCCCCCAGTCTCTCTCTCTCTCTCTCTCTCTCTCTCTCTCTCTCTCTGCACATCCAGAATACTGAAATCAACCTCAACCTCCTCTTTCATTCCTGTAGTTCTTTCAGCACATATTACTTCTCTGCAAGTTAAACATCACAGCAATATATATTCTTTATGTTAGTTATTACACAGAAGGAAAGAATAAGGAGAGGAATTACATATGTTATCTGAGGATCAACAGATATTATGGGTTTTGTAAATCTAAAAAAAAATTATTAAGGAGTTAATATCTTTCCTTTTTTAATGTAGTGTTGGACATTGAACCCAAGGCTTTCCAAATGCTAGGCAAGTGCTTTACTACTGAGCTACATCCCCAACCCAATAGTTAATACCTTAATCATTTTGGTGTGGCTTTCCTTTAGAATTTAGAATACCAGGCAAAGGGAGAAGAAGTAACTTTGTGAAGAATAGCTCCCAAAAGAGCACAACACACACACACACACACACACACACTTCTTTTCTGTCCAATTATCTAAAGTATAATTAAAGCATAATTTTAAGTGTTAATTTTAAGTATTTAATATATGACATTTCCATCAATATAGTAATTATGTTTTGTTTGAAGTTAAAGTGGATTTGAATTAAATTTCCATCTTGGTGAAACATTTTGTTTTCCTTAGAGTTAGTAATTGCCTCCTGTTATGCTAAAAGATTTTTTAAAAGCCAGGTATGGAGGTGCACACCCATAATCCCAGCACTGTGAGAGGCTGAGGCAGAAGGATCACAAGTTTGAACCCAGCCTGGGCAACTTAGTGATTTAGGGAGAACTTGTCTCAAAATAAAAATAAAAAAGGGCCTGGAGATGTAGCTCAATGCTGAGGCACTAGGTTCAATCCCCAGTACTGCAAAAAGAAAAAAGAAAAAAAAGGTTCTGTGGAGCTCAATCTGCATCCCACCCCCTTCCCAGGAGCTATGGGAGGGTGTGGGGGTGGTGAAAGCTCCAACTTTTTAATCACTAGGTCTTTCTGGGATGAGCCCCATCCTGAGGCCTTCCAGGGGCCCGACACTAAGCCAGCAGCCCATAGCACAAACTCAGGTGTGATAAAAAGCCACTCCTGTGAGTAACAAGACTCTCCTGACACAAGATACTTGGGAACCCAAGTCGAGCTCAGCACTAAGAACTGGAGACAATGACTAAATGTATCTCTTAGTATAGCACAGTTGTACATATGGATCTACATTTCAGAATATCAGATACTGTGAATATTTTCATAAATATGAAAGACATTTTATCTAATTTCAACCTGTTCAAAAGCTAATCACATATTGATAATAAAATAGCATCAGCATATGTGGGGGTCCCAACAGAAGTAAAAGTGAAATGCAGATAACAGTGGCAGAAAGAACTGCATTAGTCACTCTCTGTTACTGTAACAAAACACCTGAGACAATTCACTTGCAAAGAGACCAGGTTTAATTCCGCTCACAGTTTCAGAGGTTTCAGTTCATGAGCAGTTGGCCCGTGGGGAGGAGATACATCACGGTGGGAGGGGGCAGCAAAGCAAAGCTGTTGACTTCATGGCCAGGAACCACAGGAGTGAGGAAGGGGCTGGGCTCCCACAATCCCCTTCAGGGACACACCCCCATGGCCTAAAGACCTCCCACCAACCCTGCCTCTTAAAAGCCCCATCACCTCCCAGTAGTATCAGGCTGGAGAAACAAACCTTCACCAAATGAGCCTTTGGGGGAGCCTTAAGATCCAAACTGCAGCAAGAATGAAAGAAGGAAATGAGGGGAAAATGTCTCACCATGTATGTGAAGGAGCAGATTTTAAGTCAAAGATGTACAATGCAAATACTAAGTCAGCCACTAAATAGAAAGAAGATGGAGAGCTAATACACCAACAGTGGATACAAAAGTCATTAAAGACACTGAGTTAATATAAAAGAAAGCAGAAAAAGGTGGAAAGGGGGACAAACAGCAGCTGGAAGAATAGAAAACTAAATAGCAATATGGTAGCCTATCCATAAATGCATTAAATACAACAGCCTAAACACACCCAGTTAAAAACCAAAGTTTGTTATTCTCCCCCTCACACCTGTTAGGAAACTCTGAGGTCCAATGAGCTTCATGCCCTGGGGCTGAGAAAGGAACCCCCTTCCTCCAGCATGTGACTGTCCCCAGGAAGATGGGGCGGCGGAGAGGAGGGAGAGGGAAAATGCTGCTGGGTGGGTGAGAAATAGTGATGGCCACGTACATGTGATGATGGGTGGGTGATTTCACCACCTGTCACCTGTCAGATGGGCAGCATCTCCGTGCCCAGGCTCTTTGAGGATCACAAAATTTCAGCATAAAGGTTCAAGTGACAATGCCTGGCACAGATCAGGCAAGCTCCGTGGTGCTGGCTTTGTGGTACTTTGGCTGTCGTGGTGGTGGCTGTTCTTATTGGCAAATTCTAGGGACCAGAGTGGCAGTGACTCACACAAGACAGCAGCAGAGCTGATCTCCTCGCTCTCTTCCCTGCAGCTGCCACTGGAGGCCAGAAATCAGGGGAAAGCTGGAGCAACAGCTTCTACTTCCTGTTCATCGTGACCACAGTCTTTAGCATTGTCTCCCTAAAGCACAAATCAGATCACAGCACTCCTGTTTAAAACTCTCAAAGACAACAATAAGATTAGCTCTCATGGACCTTGTGTTCCCTGTTTCCAGGCACAGTACAGGTTTATCACACTCCTGATTCTGTAAAGCAGGTGAGGAATCGGGAGTCATGGAGGTTAGGTGGCTTCCCAAGGGCCGCACAGCCTGGAACTGGCAGATCCCAGGGGTGAACCCAGCTGTGCCTGCCCCACTTAGCAGCTCCTGGAGGAGGTGCTGCCTACCACAGACACAGCCAGGAGGTCCTGGGGACCACTTGGTGAGGTCTGATTGCAGTCCAGGCCTGTATAGAGTCTTTTAGCAGGGAGTGACTGAGCCAGAGGGGACTGTCGAGTGCACAAATCAGGCAGGGCCAGCCTGGGGAGCAGGCAGTTGGTGATGCCCTGGCCCAGGGAGGGGGAAGGGAAGGGTAAAGGAAGGCTCATATGTGAAGGCTAACTCTGTCATATAATCAGCAAGGTTCGGGCATCCGATGGGAGGCTGAGAACCAGAGAGATGTCTTGGATCTTGTAGGTGTCTGGCTTGGTGCCATTCACTTGGAGAGGAGATGTCCACAGTGAAACAGGGTTCATAGGAGAATCTGCTGTTCACTGATTGACAAATTGAGGCTGAGACACCTGTGTGCTCCCCAGGAGCAGGTGTCCTGTAAGCCCCAGGCATACATGTCTACAGCCCATGAAGTGCAGTCTGCAGAAAAAGATGTGGGAGTCAGAGCAGGAAACTGTCCCCAAATATCCTCAGCCAGATTTGATCTCACTCTCAAATTCCCACAACAGAATTGTCATCAGTCTCCTTTATCTCTGGCATGGAACAATTACTCATGTTTGTGTCTGTTGAAGCAGCTAGATGGAATTCTCAGAAGTCAGAGGGCCCTGAAAGCCAAACCTCAGAGGAGCTTAACTATCTCCCCAGTCACCCAGCTTGTAAGTAATGGAGCTGAAACTTGAGCCCAAATTCTCTCTGCTGAGTTCCCTAAGCTTCCCTCCCATAAGAGGCTTCCATGTGCACTAGTGTGCTTTTCACTGATGTGATGAAATACCCAGGCAGCCTCATTTATAAAGAAAAGAGGGTTAGTTGGTTCATAGTTCTGAAGTTCAAGGCTGTCTGAGTCCGTGGCAGCACCAAGCATCCCATGGCAAGAGACAGGGAGGGCGTCTCTTGTACCTCGTCTTTCCTCCTCCTCTGAACAAGCCACCAGGACTGAACGTTGGGGACTCTGCCCTAAGGACCTTATCTAATCCTAATCACCTGTCAAAGGTCTCACCTCTAAACAGCATGGGTTAAGTCTCGATCCTCTTAATACCATTAACATATGACTTGGGGATTAAACTTCAGAGTGAATAAACCATCTTCATCCAGAGCAGAAACAGGAATGAAAGTACCAGGCTCGCTCAACTTTGTGAATACTTAAAAATACAATAAAGCAACTGAGCTACCTTTACTGTGCTTCAACATTCTGCCAGACCCTGTAGATACAGTATCCAGTACCTTCACTCTTTACATCTCTAAAGTGGATATGGAAACCCATGTTTTATAGATGAAGAGGCGGACGGTCAGAGGGGTAAAATGTCTTGCTCTGAAGCAGTACGGCTGGATTTGAAACCGATCCTGACTGCAGAAACACAGGCTTTCCTCAACACGCCTTGGTGTCTCTGTGCAGTGAGTTTATAGAAGGGAAATCTTCCTCCGCCTAACAACATGGGGAGCTATTATCAGGTTCTGAGCTGGATTTTGAATAGCCTGGCACCTCCTGTTCTCACTAACAGGCTCTTCAATCAGCCTTCGGCTGAGAATTTTGCACTAATTTTTGGAATCCTTAGGTGCAATCTACTTGCACCCGCGCGTGACTGCAGCAGAGTCCTGCCAGAAGCAGGAAATGATCAGAAAGGCAGACCATCACCTTCACAGGTTGGGAAGGACACCAACATGGCTGGCCCACACCACCAAGAGCTTCACAGACCTGTTGCATCCATCCTTGCAAGGGAGTCTTAGTCTTATTTTGTTACAGAAGAAAATAAACTCAGAAAAGTCAGGTGACTTGCCTGGGAACACACAGCCCCCGAGCAGCGGCTCAGGATTGGTCTTTTCCATGCCACCAGCTCGTGTGTGACAGTCAGTGTTCTTTCTTTGTCCTCGCTCTCCCCCTGAACCTTCTGAGTGGAAAACTGGCCCCGTCAAGTCCTGTCCTGAATTCAAACTGCTCACTCGTGCATGCATAGCTGCTAATGTTGCAATGTGGCCAGCTGGCAGCTCATGGCCATGGCACCCAGAGAAAGTGCAGCCCTAGCTCAACATCCTGCCTACCATGCTGCATCTAGACTGGGCCTGTGGGTTGCCAGGGATCTAAAGGGGACATTCCAGGGCAGACAAGGGCTTTGCAGGGAGGAGACCCAGGTTCAAATCCGGGATTCCTCCCTCATGGGTGGTAAGATTGCAGACAAGTCTCTTATCTTCTCTAAGCCTCGGCTCCTAGGCTGTAAGATGGGAACAGTGACATACCCTGTGGGGTGTCAGTGACAATTTGGACTGTGTTAATGCAGCCAGGAGGGCCTAGCAGCAACTCTACTACAACAGAGGCTTCGCCAGAGACCCCTTTTCTTCCTAATCATTTCCTGCCCTCAGGAAAAGACCTCTACAGGTGTGGTCTTGGGCTCTCAGAAAAGCTCAAAGGTGAGCGATGTGGCCCGGCTCCCAGCAGACATCACTGCCTCCACCACGTCATGAAGCAGAAGGGTCAGAACACAGAAGGGCAGTGTGAACAACAGGGACTCGATGTGATTATTTGTTGGATCGAGTTAAACCCCTACATGTCTCCTGATCAGAAGAAGAAGGCCATAAAGCAGGATCCTGGTTTTGCTGCTTATAGGCTTCGTGATCTTGTAAAAATTCCTTCTTCATATGCCCCTGAATTTCCTTATCTGTAAAATGGGATTGGCAACTTGGGTCTGAACTGGTAATACCATGCCCCAGCACCGGCACATTTTCTGGCAACTCCAAATCTCTCCAAAACTCCAAATCTCCAAAGCACAGCAGGGAGCCAAACTCTAGAAGTAATTAAAAATAAACAGTTCCCGCAGAAAGCAGAAAAGAGTTCAAGTATAAAGAGCTGTGCCTGAAATACATTTATTTCCTGAGGTTCCTTTTATGAACCCTCAGGGCATAACAAACACTCAATGTACAAATAGAGTCTTGCCTCGCACTCGTAGACTGCTTGTCATACAGCATGGCTCTGGGGTGTGACAGGGGGAGGCGTCTCCTCCAGATCTTTGGTGGCCCATGCCTGAGAGGGAGGAGTGTCCGTGTCCCTGGGATACAGACAGTAGCCAAACGGAAGTTCTCAGAACCAAAGCAAACAGAGGCTTCAGAAGGCAGCAGGTGTGAGGGTCCCTGTTACACATGGTACCCAGAGAAAGAGCAACCCCAGCCCAAGGCCCCACCTACCACGCTATGTCTACACTGGGCCCGCAGGTTGCCAATGGCAATGGGCCATCCCAAGACAGTCTACTGCAAGTTGTATGTTATGGACAAAACAAACACAGGTGCACAGAAAGAATAAGTCTGGCTTCAGGTGCTCCCGGGGCTTTCCCTTGGACTAGTCCAACCCCAGGGCCCTGCCGGCCTTCTTGGCATTCAGGAAGTTCTTTTTCTTCCTGGGAGGAACGTGCAGTGAGATTGCTGGTTCCTTTGGGTTTCTGAATATAAAGAGCTTTTCACCCGTGTTTAACACATCAATGGCATCAGTCCCTATGATGGGGACAGGGGCCAGTTGGCCAATAGGCTCCAGGGACAGGTGGGGCCAACTTCCTTTTCCCGAGAACATCAGCCTGTCTCTGATGGGGAGACACGTCTTCTTCAATATGCTACAGAGAGAGTGAAAGATCACATTCAGCATTTGGGGCTATTTGGGCCCTCCCAGTGTCTGACAGAGCTCTCCAGGAGACACCCTTGGGGTCCTGACATCCCCGACTGAGTGTCACTTTAAAGGACCTGCTTTCCATTCACTCAGCAGCATGGCCCTGACACCAGCTGAAGCCTGTATCAGTGGTATGCTGAGTCAACCCAAGACCGTGGCTGCTAGATGTTCAGGATCTTGGAGCCACTGTCATCTCATGGTCACCCTGAGGTCAGCCATGCTGGGAGGATGTGCCACATTTATCCACATTTATCCATACGCATTGATCCATACACTGTTTGGGCCCCGCCCCAAAAGCAGGTGGATGGAGCTGGGTGATAAAGTAAAGATTGGAGTTAGGCAAAGTGTGTTCATTCCAGAAGGACTGCTGGGATCCTGTCCTCAAGCTGCCCTCCACCCCTTGATGCTCTTGGAAAAGCCATCACTGCCCCTCAGAGCCACAGGGCTCTCTCTCTGCCCAAGCAGAGCAGGTCAAGGCCGTGTCACCAGGGCCTACCTGGCAGACACTCCTGGCAGGTGTGCTGGCCCTCCTTGAAGGAACATGGCAGATTCCGCTCCATGCCATCAAGACCAAGTCCTGTCCTCAAGCTTGCATAGTGCTGCCTACCCACCCACCATAGGTTCACAGTGCCTCTGGTGGAGTGAAGACTGCCACACTGAACCAGGACAGCCATGGCCTCTTAGTGAGCATGCTCCATGGCTAGCAGTGTCACCTAGGAAAGTGCCCTGTGGAACACTACAGTTCACATAGTGTGGACTTAATTTCTTGATCTGGGTTTGAATTTACTTCTCTTGACCACTGTGCTGATCCAATTTCTTTGGAACCATGTTCTAATACAAGCCCAATGCTGATGACTCCAAGCTTTGTATCACGAACGATCCCTATGTAGGGTCAACACCTTCCCCTGGGCTGAGAAATTATGGGAGGGCCAGCACTTGGGTAAACACTTTCCTTGGACAGCCACTATTTCCCGAGCACAGGGTGGCTGCCGCTAAAGCCACTGAGTCTATGATATTACATTGTCTCTGACTCTTCTCTAGTTGGAACCACCGGAGACACTTGGCGAACAGTTTGAAGAAATCCAAAGCCTCTCTGCCCCTCACTTCCCCCGATCCCTACTTCTGCAAAAGTCACAACAGAAAGATTGCAGGCCTGGAAGTTTCAGGAAACAAAAGGAGCAGTTGGAGGGTCCCAAGGGCCACGGCCACCACCTACTAGCTGCCGTCTTGGCCGCTCCAAGGGACCCCAGAGCTGCAGTTGCCCCACCCCACTTTCTAGAAGGTTCAATAGAACGTGACGTGGAAGGGCTTTGGCTGCGATAAAATCTGAACGGCTCTATGAAATTCTTCTAATTATATCCCATTAAAAATAGCTATTAGAGAAAATAAATAGCTATGAGCTTATCTTCCTTCAGCTTCTGCACCAGGCCCCAGGATTAGGATGTGCAGTCCTCGGGGAAGAAGCCCTCCTCTTCCCTGTGCCCTCCGGATCCCTGCCCACTCACAGCAGCATGAGTCGCCCTCCCGGCCCTGGAGCAGGCTCATTACCTCTCCTTCCTCTGGCGCGCCCAGAGCATCTTCTCCAGGCCTCTGCTCCTCAGATCTGCCTGCAATCTGTTGTCCAGGGCTTGCCACCAGCTCTGGTGTTTCCTGACAGCGGGAAGGGAAGGTCTTATTGTTGAGAGAAGAACAGTGTTGGAGTGATTAGTTACTCTAACAAGGGCCACAGGACTCCGTTCTCCAAAGAGACCGCTGATGGGCAGGAGGGGCCCTGAGCGCTCCCACCCTGTGTTCTGTCACTCGCTCAATGCACAGCGATCAAGCACCTTCTTGGGCCTTGTGATGATTTATGTTACAAATTCGCCTAGAGGGGATGGAGCCCATTGTAAGTCAAGAGGCACCTGTACACACATTTATGCACACAAACACACTGCTATGCTCTCATACACAGTAACACACACACACACAGGGGATGCAGCAGAGGAATGTAACCAAATGGAAGGAATGCAGGAAGGAATGTAACCAAATGCTAACAGCCATTTTCTCCAGGTAGTAAAACCATGCATTCTTTTTCTCTTCATGGATTTCATACATTTTCTTAACTCATTCTCCATTAAAACTAAAAAAGTGCAGCTTTCCCCCCAAGCAGCATTCTCTGGGCAATTGGGAAATGGGTTAATGGGTATGTATGACACATTTACGGAAATGGTTACATTTTCTTAAGATTCTACTTGAAAAATAAATTGGTGGCAGCATTAGAAAATACTGGGGCCTGCCATGACTCGGGCTCTGGAAGACGTGGTGAACGCGAGGAGCCAGCTGGAGAGGAACGTGGGTCTGGTCCTCCCCTCTGTGGCTGTGTCCCATGTCAGGTTCTGTGGCCACGCAGGGCACTCACCTCCTCCTGCCTGGGTCAGGCTGCTCCCCACTGCCCAGGTTCTCCACTGTGTGCTCCAAGTGCTTCTCGCTGACCGAGTCCAGCAGGGTCAGCAGCTGGGGCTGCGGGGCGGTGGGCATCACCACGCTCAGGAGGCGGCGTAGTGTGGCACCAGGCACCATTGTCATCTTCGAGAGGTAAGTCGCCAGCCTCAGCTCCTGGGGACCAGGCAGGGGGAGCTCAAACCCTGGCCGTCACTACACTGCGTGGTTAAGTTTTAATTTACTATATTCTTAAGGCTTTTGTTCTCAGGGCAGTGAATATTTTAGCAGCTCAGTCTGAAAACAAGCTCCAAATTCGCAGGGCTGTCAAGAAAATGTGGTCAGCAACCTTGGCACCTCACGATGTTCTGAAAGGCTTCGTGCTCCCCTCCCGACTGTTCTCAGCCCATGTTCGGGGCCAAGTCCCTGCAGAGCAGCCTGGAGGGTGGCGGCAGAGTCGTTAGTAAGGTTCCCCTCCTCCTGGTTGACTGAGGGAGCCACGCAGCCCCAGGGAACAGGCAGGCTCTGCGGCCACCCGGAGCATCCACTAGCAGGCGGGTGCCCAGCAACACTGACCTCACTGGATACCGCTCTGCAGTGAGCGAAAGGACTGGATGGGTCTCAGGCACACTGTATGGTGTGGACTCGGCCAGCATCCAGAAGCTGCAGCCCGTGGAGTACATGCTCATATCAGTGCAGCCTGGACACAATTTAGAGGTGGAGAACAGAGCCCTGGCTGTCAGGGGCTGGGGGCACTGGGGTGCGGGTGCTACAGAGGGGCAGCTCAGGGAGGCCTTTATGGTGGCAGACAGCAAAGAACCTTTTCCTTTTTTTTCTTTTTTCCCCTAGTACTAGGGATTGAACCGCGGGACTCTGCACTGAGCCACGTCTCCAGACCTTCTCAATTATTTTAAGATAAGGTCTCACTATGCTACTAAATTATCCAGGCTGGGCTTGAACTGGCCGTCCTCCTGCCTCCCACGTGCTAGGATTACAGGTGTGTGCCACCACACCCAGCCTTTAAAAAAAAATACGTTGATCCACAGTTGGCTGAACCTGGGGCTGTGAGCTGAGGGTACGAGGGGCAACTGTACTGGCTGCTGCCTGCCGAGCCTGTGCTCAGGGCTTCTCGCCACCTGCTCTGCAGTCTCAGAATTGGCTTTAGCATCCCCACCCGACAGCAAGATGCAGTTTCTGACCAGGGAAGTCCCGTGGGCAGGAGAAAGACCACAAGCATGCTGGCATCTTCTCACCTGGCTGCACAGGGTGGCGAAGGTGTCAGTCTCCATGTTTTCCAGCAAATCTTCCAGCCCCGCACTGCTCTGCTGCTCTTCTCTCAAACTACAGTGGAGACAAGTCCAGGCTCGTGAGTCCAACTGCGTATAAAGGGGCAGCTACGGGAAGGTCAGCCAGTTGTTTCATTAATGAAGAGTTACAGATCTAAGCTACAAGACGCAATGTGTATACAAAAATTATACATCTGTATGAGGCAGGATCCACAAATGCAGAGAATATTTACATTTTTTACAATGTGTTAGAGCAGGGCTGGGGATTTAGCTCAATGGTTCTGCCACTTGCCTTGTAAACGCAAGGTCCAGAGTTCAATCCCCAATACCAAAAAAAAAATGTATTAGAGTAAAAGATACATTGCTACTAGTTCCCCTCAAGATCTTTCCCCTAACTTCAATCACATTTATCCCATCATTCTTGCTGCTTTCTGAAGCAGCTCTGGAGTCCTCTTTCCTGAGTGTCTTTAGTTGCACTGTGGGGCTGCCTCAATGACTTGAATCAATCCAAAACATTTCCCTTTCATAATCATTTAGACTTTGAGGAAGAGCCAGAAGTCACACGATGCCAGATCTGGTGAATTAGGTGAATAAAACATGAGGACACCATTATGTTTTTACAAGCTGCCCTTCCATTGGATGGCACTGAGCAGCAGCATTTACTGTATTTTTGCTCACATCTCATAAGAACAGTCAGGAAAGAGGACTCCAGAGCTGCTTCAGAAAGTGGCAAGAACCATGGGATAAGCGTGTTCAAAGTGCGTGGTGGTACCGTGAGGGGATTGATGACATGTCTTTTACTGTACTAAAATGTTTAATCTATACCTTTGCTGTATTTTTCAATCACCTGTGTATATAAAAACTAGTACACACATCCATGTACATACAAAAGGAGATGGGTGGAGGGTTTCCTCTCCTCACCTGGTCTGCTTCCCAAATAGCTCGGAGAGCTCTCGAGGCAGATGGGGTGCTCAGTGAGAAGCTCTGTAGGAGCCTAAGGCCACTCTAGCGGCCCTGAGGAGCTGTGGTTCCACTGTGAGAGTTCTGCCTTGCTCCTCGTGGCCAGCGCCAAGAAGGCCAAGACCTGGGGTCCGTACCCCTCGGCCCTAGGCGATAGCCGACCCAGAGCCACTGGGCCTGGATGGCCCTGGCTCTGACCACGAGACGGCCGGCACCTTTTCACCGGAGGCGTCAGGACCGCCACCCCTCCCTCACGATGAGGGCTGGCATCCTGGATCCGCCCCATTCCCACTGCCACCGCCCAGCGCTGGCTTCTGCAGGTCAGACCCACACCTGACTGACAAGCACGCCCCTCCAGAGCACGGGAGTCCTTCACCCCCAAAGCCAGCCTCACCACACATCTCAACCATACACAATCACTCCAATGGAACCGAGCTGCACTTTGATGCTGTTTACACAGAAGTGCATGATCGAGTAAGTTAAAATCATCTGTAATCTCGTCACCTGGAGACCACATCCATCAAAGCTGGGTCTGTTTCCTTCCAATTAATTTCTGTGTTCTGCAAAATTAGCCCCACCTTGTCTAGTATACAGTTTGCATTCTATCCTTTCCACATCAATATTGTATTCACAGGAGAAAATTAGGGAGCTGTAATGATTGCTTTTTCCAAGAGTATTAATGTCTCGGACAAAGGCTAATCTTCTAGTTTAACTGAAAAGGAATTCAAAGAACAAGATTGAGGTCTGTTTTATAATTCTACAAAAGCAGTACACAAAATGCTACATCTGTGGAGAAATCTTAATAAAGCTCATCGTGGGCCAATGTCAAGTCCTGGTTTTGATGACACACTATGATTACGTATGATGTTTCCAGGCAGGGAAACTGAGTGAAGGGCATATGGGATCTCTCTACATTGTTTTCACAGCTTCTTGTGGGTCTATAATTTTTTGAAAATAAAAAGTCTAAACATATTATTAGTAAACTTCAATGATCTTCAGGGAAAACACTGAAGAAGGACGTCAGGGAAGAGGAAAGCTGGGGTCCTCCAAAGCTAGCAGCGCTGTCTGAGCATTGGGATGGCTCCTTAGAGGGAGGGTGGAAGCCAGTGCCCCCCAGGCCTGCAGGGGGCAACATCCCAGGCCGTGGGCACTCCTACCTCTGCTGATGGCGCTCCAGCATCTGCTGGGCCTTGCTCAGGGCCTGCTGCAGGATGGAGGAGATGGGCCCTTCAGAGTCTGCCTCCCCTGGCTCGTTTGGGGCCCCAGGCCCATCAGCCACCCACTGCTGCCAGCTCGCCATGGCCCGCTGCTGCTGGGCAGCCTCCTGCTGGGCCAGGTGCTCCTCCAGCTTCCGCTCCAGCTCCTGGAGCTCCTGCATGGAGAGGGGGTGGTGGTGAGTCCAGTCCATGGTCACGGCATCTTCCGCAGGCACCTAGGGCTTGCCTGGCTCCCTGTGCAGCTGTGCCCGACCATGCACCGTGCATGCTGCCCCCTTCATTGGTGGTGCCCCTGCCCACCTGCCCAAGTATCCAAGACTTTACAAATCCGGTTTCAGAAGCCCTCAATGACAGGCTCCCAAGTCCCTGGGAGAGGTGGACAGCCCCTGGTTTATGCCCCCTTTCAGTCACTTGAACCATGGAGCTGTACCCCTGGCTACAGTGTGAGCTCCCTGAGGGCAGGGCTGAGTTGCCTGCTCCCTGTCTGCAGTGTGGTTGGCAGCTGGCGACTGTCACTGGCTTACTGCAGAGCCTCTGCCTGTGTCCACCATGGGCGGACACCGTGCTGGATGCAGCAGCCATGGTAGGGATTGGTGACGGAAAGTGCCACATGCCAGCCTATTCGAGGACTCTACACGGGCAGTGCCCAGCTTACAATGGCTGCACTTACAACTTGTGACTCACAATGGTGTGAAAGCAATACAGGTTCAGTACAAACTGTACTTTGAGTTTCAAATTTGCATCTCTTCCTGGGCTAGAGATACACAGCATGGTGTTTTCTTACGATGCTGGACCACACTAGCAGCACAGGTCTAGGCAGCCGTGTGACTAACAGGAAAATCCCGCCTCTCTCAATGTGCTGGGTTGCTAAGCTGTGATGGTCCACGGCTTAGACAGATTCGGTGTCACTTCAATCTACGACATTTTCGACTTACCATGGTTTATCGGGGGGTTTGATAGAAATATACAGTGACTGTTTCTCCTTTAAAAAAAATTATTACAGTAAAAGACATATTCCAGAGCTGCTTCAGAAAGTGGCAAGAACAATGGGGTAAGTGTGTTCCAAGTGAGAGGGAGGATTTTGAGGGCCATTCATGGCAACGTGTCTCTCACTGTAATAAATTTTGAAAAATTTAAGCATTCACTGTATATTTCAATTGTGCCTCCTAAGCCTGGAAGTATCTTTACTGATCTCATTGAATCCTTCTAACAACCCTTTAGAAAACGTGCTCTTACTCCCCTTGTCCTGCAGACCAGGATAAGGAGGCAGAGAGGGTGAAGGTCATTTGCCAGGTGATGCAATTATTGAGTGGCAGAACTAGAATCTGGGGCCAGGCCAGCTGGGTGCAGAGTTCGTGCTCTTAACCACTAGGCGACACTGCCACTGCTTGGCCAAACACAAGGAATCTGCATTCCTGAAGCCACCGAATTAGAAGAGCTCCCTCCAAGGTGGGAGGGTAGAGAAGAGGCCCCAGCCTGGGAGAATGCAAACTCACTTAACCGGTTATTTGGTTATTCGGAGTGGCCATGCAGTGAGGGCTGGGGCTGGGTGGGGCTCATCCTGAGCATCCTGGATGGCCCTGGTCAGAGCACACCGGTCCTGATCTGCACGGAATGGCTTTGCAGCAAACTCTCAAAAGGATCCCAAAGCCCTCAAGGCTCTGGAACACTACTCAAAACCCAAGACAAAAGGGAAAACAGCCAGAGAGCACAGGGAGCCTGACATCCAAGCCACTCACTTGGGGTTTGTCCCCAAAGACTAGGAAAGCTCCGGAAGCCCCTGGGCCAGACTTCTAACAGGCTGAGATCTGGAATTATGAGCATCACTCTCACTGCAGCCGCCAAGTGGGAAAATAACTCGGTGTGGTTTCCAACAGCGAGTTCTGTCCGGCCGTTGGCAGTGTCACCAGGGAAAGCAGTAGTGCACAGAGGGCTGGCTTTTCTGCAAGCAGCCTGCAAAGCCTTGGTTGGGAACAGACGCTAGGTGAATGTGTGTCCTGCAGTTTATCATGTGGATGGCATGTTCTTCCAGCGCGTCAGTCTTGGCCCCTGACATTTGCTCCTCTGTCTATATCTGCTGCCACTCAGCACAACTGGAATCTGAAACTCACTTCTGGATTTGCTTTAATGCCTGCCTCCCTCCCTGATCTCTAAATGCCGAGGGCAGGAATGCTGGGATATAGTGCCTGGTTTACCTTTGTTGCAGCAGGGAGCTCAGGGCCCAGTTCATGGAAAAATCAGCAATGAAGACAATGAGGAAGAGGAGGTATTGGAGGCAGAAGAGGAGGAAGAGGTCAGCTGGCATTAACTGAAGGCCTATACTATATCAAATTTCACTCTGAGTATTTTTACATAAATTAGTTTATGCAATCTTCGAAAAATAACTCAAGGTAGGAATTTATTATTATCCCATTTTGTAGATAAGGTAACTGAGGCCACAAACAATAGAAGTAAATTTCCTGAAATCGTGGGGCTGGGCAGGGACAGAGCCAAGAGAGATTTTCGTTCTGTCTGACTCTGAGTTCCATGTCTTAGTGTTGGAGCCTCTCTTCAGCACTCGGTGGATACCCAGGAGGCGAGTGAACAGAGATGACAGACAATGGCATTGGTGGATGGGTGGACAGATAGATGGCTAGATAAAAGAGAAAGAAGGAAGGAAGGCATGGAGGGAGGAAGGACGGAGAAATGAAGGGAGGAAAAAAAGAGAGAGAGGGAAGGAGGGAGGGAGGGGAAGAGAGAAAAGGAGAAAGAAAATGGAGTTCCAGGCCTTTTCTGGGCACAGGGACTAAGTGTGAATGGGAATGAGACATGGCTTCCAGATTCTGCAAACTCAGAGTGCTAAGGAAGGCAGCTGCGTGCACACAGGTACCAAGACCGGAAACACTATCGCCTGAGATCACAGAATTCTGACGGGGGAACTGGGAGAGACCCACGCTGCCTGAGGGGCGATAGTGGGGCTCACTTAGAATACGCACAGGAGGAGTTTGCAAGGAGGTGTGGCAGAAGCAGTCTAGGGGAGGTCCCTCAAAAGGACCACGCCTGAATGTATCTCCAGGGCTAGGAGCAGCGGGATGGAAGGGGCATTGAAGCTCAGGGGCCATGGTAGAGAACATTTTAAATGCAGAGCTGGGGAGGGCTGTGAAAGATCTACTATTTTCCAGAGAAATCCCTGGAGGGGAGACGGGATCAGGGAAGGAGGGAGCAGATAGGCATGACGTTGGAACAGGACCATGGCTTCACAGGCAGGGAGAGGTCTGCTTTGCCTCTGTGGGCCCTGGTGAAATGACTTCCCCTCCCCAGCCTCCTCCAGCGCCTGCACAATGGGCTGGGGCTCAGGCTCTTTACAGGGTGCCTTGGCCTTGGGGTGAGCTCAGTTAATGCTGGCCGACAGTGGTGCTGTTTTTGTTTTGGAGCTCTAGATTTGTCAAGCAGTGAGCAGAAGCCGGAAGTGAGAAAACTCAGGAGGAATCAACGGCCAGTGAGGCAGAGGGAAGAGGGGAGGAAGGCACAACTGGGGAAGTGGATGTTCAGCACTTTCCACTGAAATGCAGCTACAGTGGGTACAGTTAGTTAAGGGTCACTTCATCTGCTCCCCAGTAAGTCCATCCTATTTGAATGCACACAGCATTGCCCCTTGGCACTCCTATCTAATTATACCTTGCATATGTTCCAATCTCACAAAATGGGCCTAAATCGTCCATCAAATGAGGAGCACTGGATATAGTTTTCTTAGGAGTCATTTCTTCCCAAAGCATTTCATTTCATGCTTTTTAATTCTCCAGAATGTTTAGCAGCTTAAACGCTCATTCCCAACAGGAAAGTGGTTCACAATTGCAGAATGAAAGTCTAATATCTAGAGCAAAACAGGCTGTGTCCCCTACAAATGCAAAGCGAAGGGAAAGGAGCAGGTGTCCCCGGCCAGCAACATAGTTAACACATCAGCCATGTCGCTACCTGTGGCTTCCAAGTGAGGACACACGGACGCTCCTCTTCCAAATGGACCAGCGAGCAAAGGCTCTGATGGTACCAGAAGGAGCTTGGAGGTCAAGTGGAAAAGGGAAGTGCTGTAGCCCACGGCACTCATAGAAGTCGGCCGTCTCGCAAACAGCGCGGCTCATTGGGCATTTCTCGGGCAGTTGGGGTGAGTAGATAATTGTGAGCCGAAAGCCAGGGCTCCAGGGTCTCGCTGGGTCCTAACCACTAAGTGACCGTGGACTGCCCCGGGGATGGAACTCGGGTCCTTGTGCTTGCGGGGCAGGCACTGGAACCACTGAGCTAAATCCCCAGCCCCAAATATTTATTCTGTATATACTAAAATGATCATATGCGTTGTTTCCCCCTTTAACCTGCTAGTCAGGTGAATTGTGTAAGTGGATGTTCTAATGTTAAACCAACCTTACATTCCTGGGATAAACTGAACCTGGCCTTGATGTATCTAAATTATCTATAAATGGATGGATTATATGAATAGTGTTCTGTTTACAAACTGTACATCTATATTCACAAATGCAATTGTTTTCTTGGATTGGTTTTTGGTGTCAAGGTTATCTGAGAATCATAAAATGAGCTGAGGACTATTCTGTTTTTTCTGACACTGGGAATAATGGATAATGTGTACACAAAATTGACAAAATACCTTCAGGCAGTGATGGCGAACCTTTTAGAGACTGAGTGCCCAATCTGCAACCCCAAACCCATTTATTTATGGCAAAGTGCCAACAGTGCCCCTGTGTGCGCTGCTACCTGATGCCCAGGTGCCGAGGTGATGCCAGATGACCTGGCTCGTGTGCAGACAGAGAGGGCTCTGAGTGCCCACTGCGGCACACCTGCCACAGGCTCATCACCACTACCCCAAGGTTTGGCAGAGCAAACCTATAAAACTACTGGGCTTCAGTGTAATTGTGTTCAGGGAAAGATTTTAACATCTGAACCAATTTCATTCAAAGTATATGAATGAAAAAAATTATACAATTTTTTCCTACTTAAGTTAATATTTGTGATATATATTGTTCTAGAAATTATTTCATTTTCAAACTCCTCTACAAAAAGTTGTTCATAGTATTCTCTTATTTTTTAAAATTCTATGTAGTGATAGTTATTAATTTTTTAACTTTTGATACTATTTATTTGTTCCTTATTTTTTTCAATAATTTTACCAGAGATTTGGACATTGCATTAAGACTTTTTTTTTCCCAAAAAATGCAATGTTAACTGTATTGATTCTCTATAGTTTTATTCATTTATTTATTTTTGGTACCGAGGATTGAACTTGGGTCCTTGTGCTTGCACAGCAGGCAGCAAAACCACTGAACTAAATCCCTGGCCCTACAGTTTTATTTTTAATTTTGTTTAGGCTATTTTCTTTCCTCCTGCTTCCCAAGGTTCATCTGTTATTTCCCCTCTAATATCCTATTTTATATGATATTAATTATGGGATTTTCTTCTTTTCTAATGTAAGTTTAGGATACAAATTTCCCTCTGAAAACTGCTTTAGCTGAATTCCATGTATTTTGATATATCACAGGCACATTCAGCTCTATGTACTTTACAATTTCTACTATTCCTTTGACCCACAAATAATTCAGAAGTATATTTTTTAAATTTTCAAAATATGAACTTTTTGTAGTGCTCTGAATAAAACTGATTTAAAATTAACTGGCATTTGTCCAAAGGTAGCCAAAGGGAGATCATACGGCTGATTATTCATAATCACTCTGGTATGTGGTGAAGAACACAGACTGGTTGCTTGTTGGCTGGCAAATCCTATAAGTATATGTTAAAAACTGCTTCTTGTGCAGTGCTCAGCTTATCTGTGTCTTGTGTTTTATTTGACCAACAAATCACACTAAAACAGGTGTGCTGAAATTTCCTACGATGATGATGGGATTTACCAATTGCTCCCCCCATTCTACCAGTTTTTCTTTTGTTATTTTGAGTCTTTTTTAAATACATGAAAAGTTCAGACTTGCTACATGCTCCAAGTAAGATTTTAAAATAAGTTTTGTATTATCTTTAATTTCTTTAACAATTTCATAAGACTGTGCTTTAAATTCTGTGCTGATAAACCGACTATTTGAGGTCTTCTGGAATCTTCATCTGTTATCTTTCTGCCTCTCCCACACAGAGGTCCTGAATGTGCTCCATGACTTTCTTTCCCTTTGAGAAGCTCACAGCTGGTGAACGTAATCTGCAGAAATCCCAAAGTTCCCAAACAAGAATACTTCTCTCTAGAGACCACTGGTCTTTGGACCAGGACCGTCAGCCAACCGGGAGCCTCTTCAATTTATCAGCATGGCGATGTCCTGACTCAGTGGTTGCACTGCACCTGGGCCCCTTCCCCACCTTAGCAGAGCCTTTCACTAGCTGCTCACAGGGAGGGCTCCCACACAGGAGAAGGTGGGGACAGGCAGGCTTTGGGGTAGGTGGCTTCCTGTCCCAGCCCTCACTCCTGTCCTTCCTCCTGTCTTCTGCTTCCTACGGATGCATGTTGTTCTTCCCCTCTATTTCACACGATCTTAATCCTGAGCCCCATCACCCCATGGCAGAATGTACCTCTGATTTGCTATCATTGCCCTCTGAGGGCTCTGCTGACTCCAGGAAAGCTCTGACCCTTGGGGATTTTCCATAATCCCTGTGAGCTCACAAAGTGTGTGTTATTTTAATTTCTGCAGAACCTGAACTTTTTGTGCTAGAATACCAACAATGACCCTAGTTTCATGCTCTCTTAGTCCTTTCCTTGTTGCTTGGACAAAACACCCAGCTCCCACAACTTAAAGGAAGAGAGGTTTATTTTGGCTCATATTTTATAAGTTTCAGTGCTTGCATGGTCAGCCGGCTCCAGGCAGAAGCAATGGTGGAAGGGCCTGGGGAAGGACAGCTGTTCATGGCATGGTGGACAGGAAGCAGAGAGAAGGGAGGAGCTGGAAGGGAGATGAACCCTCCAGACCACACCCCGAGGGACTCACCTCTTCCTAAAAGCACTTTTAGCTATAAACTCATCAGTAGACAAATCCACCAATGATTACAGTGGCCCCATAATCCAATCACCTCCCGAAAGCCCCTGAGTGCATGAGGCTTGGGGGTGGGGAGACATCTAGAGATAAACCACAACACATGCTATCCTTAAAACAGTTGTCACACGCAGGGCAGAGTGTTTGCCAAAAAGTAGTGGTGGACTCTTCAAGGTTTAGTGTCATTTGCTACTTTTAAAAGAAATGATGGGAAGCCACATTGGCAAACTCAACAGGGATACATCATGAACATGACAGAGCGTGTTGAAGTCAGAAATAGGTCCAACTTCTGGCTCCTTTCATTTATTAGCCATGTGATCTTCACAAGGAAGGTGACCTGCTACCTGCCGAGTCTCAATTTATTTACCTAAGGATTGGGCATAGCAGGACCTAGTTCACAGCATGGCTCAGCAACAAAGACAATGTATGACAAAGAGCAGAATTACAAAGCAGCACAACATTGTGACTTATTATTAATTGTGCTTAAATGATAATCTTAAAAAGTATAATTAAAAATTACTAATGGTTAAATGAGACCATTTTCCCTCACTATAAAATGCTGCTGTTATTATTTTTTATTATTATCACTTGTGTGTGGTAGTGGAAATTGAACCCAGGGCCATCACACTGAATCCTTTTTTATTTTTTATTTTGAGACAAGGTCTCACTAAATGGGTAAATTACACAGTCTGGGCTTGAACTTGAGATTCCCCTGCCTCGCTGTCCAGAGCGCTGGGATGATAGGCATGTGCCACCAATCCCTGATTATAAATAATTATTATAGTAACAGGTAATATATAAAATTCTAAAATCTACACATAACAGGCCTAAAATTAGCCCTCAAAACAGTTATTGCCATAGCTTTTGTTTCATGGATATACTTCTCATATCTTCAAAGAATGTAGCATGTAAGAACATTGATAAGAATTAATTTATTCAAATAAATAATGCAATGTACGGCTGCACGTATGACGCCCATAACAGAAGGACGCACTGTTGTTTGTCGGGGCTCTACTGAAGAGACAGCAGTGCCGAAGGAAACTCTCTGGCATGTTCCCTGCCTGGAAGATGCGTCAAATTTCAGAGGTGTGAAAAGTCCCAAGGGCCGCTTCTCCCAGGCAAGGACCCTGAGCTGTTTTGTTCAAAGCAAGGGTGATGGGGCTTCCTGGCTTCCTCCCCCGTCCCCGGCCCACACTCACCGGGCTGTGTGACTCCAGGATCTGGCTGCAGGCCAGCTTGGTCAGCGTCTCAGACTCGCTCAGCTCCTCCAGCAGCAGGTCCTGGAGGGTGAGCAGGGCAGTGTAGGCTGACAGGGTCTCGGTGAAGCGGGATGCCTTCTGGAACTGCAGAGCAACAAGTGACTCTGCAAAGCAAGCTTCCTGTGCCTCCAGCCGCTGCACCCTCTCCCTCAGCAGCTCTCCGCGCACCTGGAGGGGGCAGAGCAGCATCAGAGATGGTGAGGGGTAGGGAGAAGGGCAGCAGGCTTTCAGAGGGCACCAGCCAGGGCCTGAGGGCCAACTTGAGGGAGGAGGTAGAGCAAAGACAAGCAAACAACAGGAAGCCATGGGGACAAGAATCAAGAAACCAGACAGGGCATGGATGACTATGTCAAAATATGAGAAAACTGACAGATAAAGGTCACTTTGCTCCCCGCCAAGACTCCCCCAGGCATGAGCAAACTCAAAAGTACAGGGCCCTGGCCTGTGTCCAATCTCACTTGCATTGTGGTTTTGGTACTCCACCCCTCATCGGGCTTCGGATGCCATGACATGTGCTTTCAAAACTTTGTATGGTCAAAAATTTCCCCTCCCAGTGGGTAAGCCCAGTCAGGTACCCCACTCAGCCACTGTCAATCCCAAGCCATAGACCCTTCCATAACCCCAGGACCTGAAGAGACACCATGTCTGGCCCTGTGGAGCAGTGAGCTGTTCTCACTGGCCCACTTCTCTCTTGAGGTGTGGAGATTTTCTTTTTGTATTTTTAATACATCTCACTCTTGTCACTCCAAAGGTCCTTCTCAGTTCTTTGTTAGGATACCAAGAACCCGGAAACAATTCCCCAAGACTCCTCCATCTGATAACATCTGGTTTGGCGAGCCAGCCAGGAGGTAAGGAGACCCCACGTCTTACTGTCTCCTTGTCTTATCTGGCTGGACTCTTGTGGGCATGGATCAGATAGTTACATGCTAGTAGGACAACTGCTGCTTGGAAACTTGTGACAGGATAACTGAGTCATGGGAAGTCACATCATAGCCTCTGCAGGCTCAAGACAACTCCTGTGCACCTGCTAGATTTATGTTTTATGCTTGTATAACAAAATGATAAAAACGTTCTCATTGCACAATATTTTCCTACAACCTGAATGTTTTTCCCCTAGTTGCTTCTGAGTTTTGGGACTCTTACCCACATCCTTTGCATACTAATATCTTTTTCAGATCCCTCTCCCTATTTGGAGTCTATATCCTTGGTCACTTCTTATGTGTCACATCTCTTTCTGTCACTCAAACTCTTCTCCTTCTACCATCCCCATCCATCAAATTGCTCTCCTATCTCCCTGGACATCAGAAAAACTGGTGCTTTTAGACAGAAGTTATGGCTTTCATTTCTGGAACCTCATTAAACCACAAAGCTGGGTGTCAGGTGTGAAAAATGGTTCTTGGACACTGTACGGTCTGCATCAGATACTAGTGGGTAACAAAGCTGGGTTTGACTTCTCTCTAGGGATTCCAGGGGAGGTAACCAACCTTTCTCCGACCTATAAGGAGTTAACAGGAGCCCACAGGGATGCATCATGGCCCATTAGTAAATTTACTTCTGTATTCCAATCTAAATTGATATTTTGATCTAAATGGCATGCTTAAAACATTTCTTGTGCATTAGGGTAGTTCTTAAACTGCAATTACAGGGTTAATTTGCCCTACTTTCTGTTTTCTATTTGAACTAAGATAATTTTGCTACTCCAGGTTACTTGGAAGTCTGTTGTTTAGCCAATCCTAATTGGAATGAAAACATCTGTGTGTTAACTGAGACCAAAGAGGGAAAAGATGTCTCAAAAGCATTTAAAAATTCAAGCAGTGGGCTGGGGATTTAGCTCACTGGTTCTGCCACTTGCCTCACAACCACAAGGACCTGAGTTTGATCCCTGGTACCAAAAAAAAAAAAAATTCAAGCAGCTACTAGGCTTGTTACGGAAGGGAAGCAGTGATTAGGATAGAGGAGATGTAAAGACACTTATGTGTATGAAGATACATTTTTAGTATGAAAGGATTTTGTATGGTAAGATATTGCCTGGCCAGGATGGGAGAAAAAGAAAAAATAAGGTCAAAACTGGGAGGTCTGAGTAGTTAGAAAGCTTTGTGGAGGATGAAGATTAGGAATGGAAACCTGTATGTTTGCCTAACCTGAGTTTTCGCTAATGTTGATTTTATTGGGCCTAAGAGCTATTCCTTCTAATCCTCCTTGTTGCTCAACTGTGGTCAAAGGCACATGACACTGACTCAGTCCCTGCCTGACACACACACACACAGTGTGGGACCAGATAAGATCAACAGCCAGAACAGCAGTCTAGTGACAAAGGACAGTAGAAAGTGACTGATCGGCAATGCCTGCAGAGACACTTTCACAAGGAAAGCATGAGAGTTATGGGTATCACTTGTGTCAGCCCTATGGAAAGGTAAAGAAAACCAGGAGGTTATAAAGGAAGAGGTCTTATGCATAAGTCCCTGATGATAACTATCATGAAGGACTCTGCTGGAATCGTGTTTGTCCCAAATCAATTTAAACACACTCTAACAAACTTGTCATTAGAAAATCCATATCCTGACATGTTCACAGGTAAAGAAGACCAAGCTTACGCTAAGGGTGGATGTGCCATTGGGGCACACCCTGCATACCAGTCAGAGAATTCTGCATGTATGTGTGTATTTGTTAAATAGGCAAGGTTCACAAATGCAGTGTGTGCAGTTGAGCAAACAAGGATCCAACAAAACTGTCTGCCCATGTGGGATGATTAATAACAAACAGTATACACTGAAGGAACTGCCCACTCACAGTCCTTTCAGCAGCCTGGTATAGCTGGTAAAGACACTGGATTGCTCACAGAGCATACAGTGGGCTACCAGGAGCTACCTAAGGTGCTGCCCACCCACCCCCATTCATGCCTCTACGTCCAGTACTGCCCTCCTGGCAGAACAACTAATGCAAGCCATGGGGTCCTATCATGTCTATGCTTTCTTTAGCTGCTGAGACTGAGGACCAGGGTGTGTTCACCTGGAATAAACAGCAAAGGACTTCTCAAGAACTCCCAGGACCACCTACACAGCCCCACCACAGCATGATATCATGCTGACCTCCAAGTGTCTTACAGGTTTAAGAAAACACCTGGAGAATATTCAGGGACACCTGAAGGAGCAGAAATGAGAAATCAATCCCCATAAGGCAAGGGCCTGGTACCATCGGAATGTTTTGGGTCTTTTATGGTTGGGTGAGACATGGATGATACCTGAGAAGGTTGCTGAGAACATCACCTCTCCCCACGTCCCAACTCCCCTCTCTAGTCTGGCTCTCACCAATGGTCTTTCTTTCTCATCTCCTCTGGATCAAGGATCCAAGGAAGGGACACCAAATTGGTCAAAGGCTCATGGTCAAGGTACCCACTTAGCCCCTAGAGGCCTTATCTGGTGTCTTAAGTTATGGAGAGAAAGAGACAAACACATGAGGAACTAAAGGGCACTGAACTAAAGGCCACCTGCTTCACCAGAAAAGTCCGATAGGAAACTTGAGCTTTTAGGGGGACGCCTCAGAGCTCAGTGGGTCTCCATCCTCCTATGGGGACGCCCTCAGGAGGATCCTAGGCCTGGTCTTCTCTCCATAAGCCCTCGGCATGAGGCTGTACCCTTAACAATGTGGCCCTGATAACCTGAGAAAGAAGCAGCTTCTTTTCTATTGCAATATGGCTTGGCCTGATATAAACTTGAGGATAGAGAACAATGGCTGGAAATTGGCAGTCTAAATTACAATGCTATTATCCAGTTAGATCTCTTTTGCAAAAGGCAAGGAAATGGTCAGAAATCCCTTATGTTGAGGATTTTATGGCTCTCTATCAAAAACCATCACTTTGCCAAGGCCAAGAGACACCACCCTTAGAAAGGCTTCCAAGCCAGAGATTGATTATTGATTACCCCTTCTTTACACCTCCACGTCTCTCGGGGGAACACGTGGAGTGGCCTCACCCCCATTCTCATAATGCTCAGGCCAGTGCACCGGCATCACCCTCTCCCAGGGACTCGGAAACCCCATCCACAGCTAGCTCTCCAGAGAGGACCAGGACCCCTCGAGCTCCTCTGGGTGACCCCCAGGCCACATGCATTAAGTTCTGTGGGACATTCACGGAGCAGAGCCTCTTACTCTCTCAAGACACAACTTCCCTTCTTTAAAAACACTCAAGGGTTATATGTGGTCATTAATAGGGCCATTGATAATGTTCTTGTATTAATTATTCTTGTTTGCATTTGGGAACCTTGCCTATTTAACAAACTTCTATAAACTCTTTCTTTCAGACTTCAAACAATGTTCCACCACAGGCTTCCGACTCAACAAACCCCACCTGTTGAAGAAGCAGCCGCACTGGGACCCAAGGCACCGTCTGTCTGACTGTGACTCCATATTCATTTCTTTATCCCACTGCCACGGGCACACAGGCCAGGGCCCTGTCTGTCACACCTGCATGTCCCCTCAGTGTCAGGAATCCCTGCTACACTGATCCCAGCATGCATGCTGACCGAGGATGCCCTAGCAGACAGGAAGCCCGCACACTGCACCATGCCTGTGCATGGTCTTCATATGCTGCTGTGTACCCCACCTGCCTGCTGGGTGACCAGAGGCAACCCTCTCCCGACAGAGGACGCAGAGACACCTAGCAGACCCAGGGTGACTGCAAATGCATGCATGCCCAGCTGAAACCAGCAGCCTGACAGTCCACCGAGCCCAGCTCAAAATCCTAACCACAGAAGCATGAAAACCAAACTAATGGCCGTTTTAAGCCCTGCACTTTCTTCATTTTAGAGGTGCTCATTTTGCCACAAAAGTGAACTGACACTCAGTTATTGGTGTCTAGCAGCTGAATGAATGTGCTGAATGCCAAAGAGTACATGTTTGAATCAAAGAGAAATCCTCCGCCATCATCTAACACTTTGGAAAGATAAACTCCTCCCCTAGAAGGAATTTCTCGGCAGCTATTGGAAAAACCACCGACCTGTCTGACCAGCAAAGGGCGCAGGTCTTTCTCACTGGCCTGAAAGGCTCCCATCTCCCTGCCCACCAGCTTGCTTGCCCCACAGAGCTGACGCCCGTGGCTGGTGGCTCCTGAGAAGCCCACACAGCCCTCATGGGTTGAGAGAGATGCTGGAAGCAATGTGCTTTCTCCGCAC